AAGAATTATATGAAAATTGAATGCAACACCAGCAATATTTAATTTAAAAAAACGAGGCAAATAGTAATACATGAAACTAAATCAAAAGTTACGATTCTCAGTAAATCAGGAAATACGTGAATGGATTTGTTAAAACAAGAACAAAATTAAGAAAACAACATATTAACTAAAATGACATACCAATTTAAAATACATAAAACAAATAAAAAGTATGTATTTCAAACACCATTTGAATACTAAAAAAATAACAGTCTACGTCAAAGGAAAACATTCTCAATAAATTGAAAATAAAAAATATTGAAGACAAAGTAAGCTACAGGCTACACGTTCTTGAACCACGAGATATTTATGACAAACAAACACACCCAAAGACTAATAACACATACAGAAAAAGCAATATTTACAAAAATAGTTGTATTACAAAAGAACAACAAACGATGATAATTCTTTCGAAAATTAAAAATAATAGACAAAATCAATTTTTAACCTTTTCAAAAAAACGTCATAAACTAAAGAACAACTGACGATAACATCTTACAAGACCTATACAGAACTATATTAAAAGTAATAAAACAAATAAAATAATAGGCAGTATTGGCAAAAATATTAATCATCACAACCAATGCTAATCGAATCGATCTTTAATCACCACTGCCGGCAATGAATAAACAAATAATTGAAATCTAACAAAACAGTGTCTCTTACCACCCCACATACGTTAGACAGAACTTATGAAAAGAATCAAGCAAAAGTTCATATGACAAAATTCAATAATAAGCAACATGACAAAAGTGTAGTGTACGAACATTAGCTACCACTTACTTTCTAGCCAAAACAAACGGAAAATCAGAAGAAATCTTACTTCACCACCTAACAACAAATACCTAATGACTAAACAATGTTATCAATCCATCAAACTAAAAACCATCCAAACTAAATACCCGGCACCATAACAAAATAAAACATTGTTAAACGTCATGTCCCAAAAACGATTAACACATCCAAAACAAGCGCGAAATATTAATTAACCAATGATATACTAGATCCGTTTTGCTTTGACGTTACCTTCCCACGTCATAGACTCGTACGCAGTGCAAATTTGCATACTTAAGACAGCACCTGTGTCACGTAAACCAATTATATCAGTTGAGGATCAAAAATAGAAGATACTTCGATACCTAATATCAAGACAAGCTTTTACATCGTTCAAATTGCGAACAACAGTTATGGTCATGAAAACTAAACATGTATACAACATTTCAGCCCAATCAGTTGAAGGTATCTGTTTCAATATTCTATAGCAAGTCCAATATGATATACTAAAAATCACGTTCAAAATAAAAAGCAATAAATACTATAAAACTACATATTTAAGGAAATTCTTACCAAAGCAAAAAAGGGTCATATAAATTTAATTTCTAGCGATATTCGGCCCGTTCGCTAGGACTTTTGAAGCCAAGAGACCTCCCATATCCAGGCAGATACTTTCAAAACACTGATATTTCAACCAAAGAGACATGTTACCGATGAAAATTAAGGGAAAATCCATTGATACGGCCTTATAAAATGACATTATAATTATGATGTATTATATATCGTATTAACAACTTTGTATGTAATTCAAACGTGTATTAAAAAGAAACTAGGCTCAAAATATATGTATTTATATATATATTTGAAGGACTACTTAACATCATTAGTGATGCAATAGAAACTGATAATGACATCTAGTGAGGAAAGTAAAAGAAATAAGTATTTATACATTTTAGTGAAATGCGACTAGGTTTTCCAAAAGTGCAAGTCACGGGTTACAATTTCGGATACATTTCCAAGCATCAATTTTTATTTTACTACTCATACTGTTCAATAGCAATCATCAGGTGGATTTTGTTCCCTACGATAGTAATAAATAGAAATTAAAAAAACAGAGAAGCATTTAAATCACCTATGAAAAAATACGAGCAAACATTTATTGCATCACTAATTAATTTTTAACCTTTTGGACGATATATTATGATAACTTGTATTAACATTACTAATAATTAAAGAAACGAGAATAATTATAAGGAACAACTAATAACCAAACAGTGAGAAAATTCCATTCATATATTGGTCCAAAATCCAAATATATATTGCTCTTAGCCTGTACCAAATTGAGTCTATCGTTATAAAAAAATTACATTTATTAGCACTCACACAATTGTCAAAAGTAAACGAAAATACAATTACCACCCTTAAAACTAAGAGAATAATGTTTAAAACTATTTGAAACCCATACAACTAAGAAGAAGAGAAGTAATTGGTAAGCATTCCATCCAAGTGAGAAGGGTTGTCATTGGTAGTCGTGCATCGCTGAAGTAATATAAGCTTCTGTTTAATAAACAATATTATATGTGTATATCTGTTGTTTTATTTCTTTAGTGTATTTTTAACCTGTAGCCTGCCCTAATGCACGCTGCACACCTTACGATAATTGATAGAAAAACTGTACAGTACGATTTAACTGTACAGTTGGACTGTACAGTTAAAACTTCACATTTAAATCGTAGCTCCATTCAGCCTATACAACTTACGGTGTAACTGTACAGTCCGACTGTACAATTGAACTACACATATAAATCGTAGGTCCATACAGCCTACACACCCTACGAGAAAAGATCATTGAGAATCACCAAGATATGGTCATTTTAAATGCCTGTTAGTTGGAATATTTAATATAATTATTGTGACCAATTTAATGCATTAACTTTTCTCCTGTAATGTTATAAATCCCACTATGTTGTGCAGGTTCGATCCCCACACGGTAAGTACATGATATAATCTAAGCAAGGACAGGTATTGAGGTACTAGTCTGGACACAATTGCAGGCTACCTTCCTAAAAATTAATCAAAACGATCAACGGATTACAGCACACATATATATAGTAGTTTTTATTCTAAGAAAAGTTAATCTAAATGTTAAGGGACTTGCTACTTCAATAGTCTGTATATAAAATGTTTTATTGCTTAATCTGCAATACATCCAATTTACACTAGTTTTAGCATGGGAAAAGTCGTTGCGGCATAACTTTAATTAATATTTCCCAGATACAGACCTTGTATATAGTTTCCTTATAGGAAAAACATTAAAAATACAGTAATTGATTAAAAAAATAAGATTAAAATAGAAAATCACAGTAATAAATTAATATTTTTTGCTGCTCGTTGGTCGAGTGGTCGTAAGTGCAACTGCCGGGGAAGGAGTCTCGGGTTCGATTCCCGGGTCGGGCAAAGTATTACTGGGTTTTTTTAAATATTCTCAGTAGTAGCACGGAGTCTGAAATTGTGCCCGGTATATGGCAATAGGCTCACCCCCTATTACATGGGACTCATAACATAAATAGTGATAAGCGGGTGTTAAATTGGTACTTATAGTGGTATAATGTACACCTCTACCTACCTCTTAGGGGATACAAGGCGTGATGTTACGTTATGTTATTTGTTATCTTGGGTATTATAAAATAGTTGATATAGGAGGCATTTATGTTTGTTACCCTTTTACACAAAACTACTAAACGGATCTGAGTATCGTTTTGAACCTAGAGTTAGATTATGTCTAAAATAAACCATAGGCCATAATTTCATAATTTTAAAAGAACCATCATTCAAACCACCACAGATAGAGCGCAGGAGTGATGCCCGATACGGAGCCGCAGAAGGCCTAACGGGTTGCCGGGGCTCCGGCTCGAAGAGCAGGAGTAGGAACGGGGTGGTTTTAAGTCAGTAAAAGTCTGACACTCCCTCTCCCCTAACCGGGACCAGTAAAGCCTTCATTTTTATCCGGGAAACGTTAATAAATTGATAAAGCCGCTGATCAAAGCTAGTTTTATCAAAATAAATCAGTTTAGTTAAAGGAAAAAGAAAATAAAATGTTCAAACGTACTATTGTTTATTTTTGTAAAAAGGAATTATTTTGACAATTTGTAACGTCGACTAACCTTTATATTATATTCTAAATAATAAAAATAAGTCAACATCGTCTTGTTAGCGATAATTATGAATTTACAGCCGTGTAATACAATCAAATGGCATCTGTACAATTGTAGAATATATATATATCTCTAAGCATGTGAAATATAGTCGACAATTGCTTGAACTATTTTCAGTAAATAATCAGAATTGTTAAAACAAGATTCAATTTTGTTTATTTTAAGAATAAGAAAATGTAAGGTAACTATGTAGGTACATATTTTATTGTAACAGGATAATGAAATAAGAGAATATACCTATATCAGAATTATATTTAGAAATAAATAATATATTGAACAGTCAAATGTAAATTTTACGTATTAGCGACTTTAATATAATAGTGTTATTATTTATTATATTTGCAACAGTTTCAAAATTAAATTACAAGTTCGCAATATGAAGAAAAACTATTGACATTTTACACATCGCATAGAGACAGCTATAAAAATGGAATTTGTCGTAAGAAAAATAAATGAATGATGTATATTTTTCATGGCGATATCAATTTCTTAATTACACGGCATTGTGACTAATTGACGTACCGTAGTGGCACTTTTATAAAATACCAATTAACACATTTTGTCTCTTACTATTTATAGAATATACAGCCAATAAGATAATCAATTCGTTACAAGATTCACGTATTGAATTAATGCTCAAATACGTTTTTTAATAAAACGTATCGAACAAACAAATGTTATGGCAAGATTTTCTACAACCAACTTCTAAAATTCTACTTGAATTTAAGTATACAATTGCTAATGGAAATTAATTTAGGAGAAATAATTTGAAGTATAGTAACGTATTTGTATCTTTACTGTATATATATACATTATACAAAAATTTGTAGATATATATTAACGGTTTTTTATATACATATGTAAGTTATATAGAATATTTTTGTTCGAAAATACAATACCGCTAATAAATACAGAAACGTTACTAGTTATCAAAATATTAGTACCAGAAATACTGCTATTAAAGTTGATTTTGCAACTTCAACAATACTAGATGTCTCAAGTACGTGACATGTTTAGTTATAAATACTCGGCTTAATAACCTCTACGTAATATTACAACATCTAAGATAGTAAGTACATAATCATAATATCCTGCATTACGTGGGTACACAAATACACAGTCCCAGATCATATAAATGTATATATTATGTTAACAGATATACATACAAACAAATGCATAACTTCTTGAGAGCAAACAGAGATCATAATTTTGTTTCGAATTATCATAAAACCTAACGTTACTTTATACTGCATTGAAATATATTTAAATACATATCGTATACCACTACCTACTCATATTTATTGCGAGATAACAAGATGAAACTACGATCAACAGTAAATTATCAACTTATAAGCGTATTCTGTTTTAGCTACAATACATTATAACGTTACACAATAAATAAATAACACACGACAATGTAACGCGGATTAAGTCGCTACTCTTAAATCTCGTTACAATTTCGTGACTCACCGAAACGCGCAAAGAAACACAATTAACTGTCAAACTATAAACTAGTATCACACATTATTCTGTTGACATAAATAACACAACTTAGACACAGAATAATCACTTTTCAATAAACGGAAATAATTCACAAGTTTTGTACCAAAAGAAATCCTTAATCGATTGGAAGGCCACCGCTATTCTAACTCACTAGCTAATTAGTTTCGCTACGAACAATTAAAGCTTTTGCTCGACGACTTGCAGTCGAAGCCGCTCTATTACAATGTAACTCTAAATAGGCATCTAATCTATGCATCACATTACGTCATCCGCATTGACGTATGAGAGCACGGCATCTCAATTTATTTGACCAGTTCATACACAGTCTATACACTGGAACGTGATCGAAACAATCAACGGTAACGATGTCGATGTAGAGCACCCGAGCCTGTCGGTGCTCCCGGCGTCTGGCGTCACCCTGGACAGCCAGGCGTCCCGTGCGCACTAGTGCGTCGCAAGCAGGCGGTCGTGCCGCCTCTGTTACTGCAGGTCCGTCTCACTACTAACGTCAATTCACCCCGACTGGTAAACACTTGCACTGTTTGACCTTCTGTAACCGCTTGCGTCTAAATGGTGGGTTCTGACCGGGACAACGCAGAGTCACTGTCACCCAAGTAAACTTCTTAGGCCTACAAAACGAACATGATTTGAAGGCTGGCTGTGGCCGGTCAGCGTTGTTGTCGCGTCGCCGCGGGCCCTTCGGTATGTAAAACGAGTTGCACTGTCCGTAGCAGAATTTGTTTATCACTGTTGTGGGCAGACAACCCGGTTCTCGGATTTTCTGAACCAGAGGTTCGGTTTTACACCAATCTTCCTTGAGATAATCTTTCTTAGTAACGACCAAAGCATTCTTTGATGATTTTATATTTTTCTGAATTCGACTCCCGGAGGTAATTCCGTAGTATCTTCCTGCTCAGGCAGAGACACCACCATACCCGTCTCAGAACTGCCATCACCGAGTTCGTTTCTTTGCACAAAAGACGTAGATGACGATGCAGTGGCCTGTTCCGCTCGCTGTCTTTCCGCGAGGAACCGCTGCACTTGTTCAGTATCAATAATATCCAGGATCGAATCGGTTGGGGTGAACGGCTTCCTATTGCCGACACCAGCGCCAGCACACACCCCGCAGTCGCCAGGATGGCTGCAGCTGCGAGCCAGATATGCGATTTCGATAAGTTCTCCATCTGCAACAATAAATTTCGTTATTAATAAAATATATTAAATTCGCAGCAATTAAATTGCTGTCGTTCAAATAAGGCGTCGCGTTAATTTTAGTCCGTAGGCTTCGCCAGAGCGGATGTCGTAGGCTAAACTCACGTCGTATCTAGAGATGGGAGCCAACATGTCGTAGGCAGTGCGTCGGTGTAGTCGGTCCGCGAGCGGCGCGCTGTTTGCGTGTGCGCAGGGCCGGCCGGCGGAGCGGTAATGAGCGCAAGCGCGGCTCAATGGACCACCGCTCAATGAACGAGAGATGAGTCACGCACCGCGCCTCCACCACAGAACCGTTACTACCAGCCACCGCTCACAGACGCGACACCTCACACCACATGTGTTTCGGATTACTCGGCCACAATACAAATCTTTATAATCCTTTTACAATGCGCTTTCTTTCTATCTTTATGGCGGCGTCTCACGGCCATCTGTTTGTAAACAATTGTAAAACCTGCCTTCTCAGTACCTAGTTAATGAAATTAAATATAAACAGGCTTTTGTAGAATTCTATTAGTGTATCAACTGTCAACTAAAACAAGATGCCTCAAAAAAGTTTTTGTCACTTTGTATGTTTATAAAACTAACGACAATAATATCAAAGACTATGAAACAATTCAACTCTGTGACATTATTTTTGTAGTCTAATTGGAATGTAACATCAAAGACAAAAGAAAGTTTTACCAACGGCCTCTGAGCGGCATAATAAATTAGGTAGAATACTTGTCATGAATAAACCAACCAGGTACGATCGTAGAGATTTCCTCACGTATCGCGGTGTACGCGGCGCCAGGTTGGGTTCGAGGCGCCGGCGCACATGGTGCCCATCTCAAATCAACGCGCTTCCGCCCATTTGTGCGGCCCACAATGCCCATACAAACTTGAACGTATACCATCCACAACCTTCTGCGAAACGTAGGCGCTACGTGTGGGTGCCAATGTTCAATTACTATTTTTAACAATAAATGTACCTATATTTTTGAAAAACCTCTTTGCTATACCGACACCATTCTCTATTTAAAAATAGACAGGAAGTCCGTTGAATTCTAAATTTGTAATGGATACTTGCGCATGCTTTCATTTTTTTAAAGTTTGTCGTAGGTTTGTAAACCAAAGAGGTTGTAGTCTTGGTGTTTGGTCGAATAACAAATTGTAATAACACCAATATATGATAAACAAATAATTTGATTATACGTCAGTGAGTTAATTGAAAGAAAATTTAGTTAAATATAACCTTCCTACACTTTATTGGTTTCTGTGAAGGCTTAATTAGAGGTTTGATTTATAATCAAGGCGATCAATCCATTATATTAACATATTACTTGTGCAAATTGTAAGCTATTTTAACATGAATATACATGAAAGATGTTAGCATATGTAAGACATACATTAGGAATGTTTTTACATTGTCATAATGGAAAAGAGTATAAAGTTACGTCTTTTTTAAAGCGGAAGTGAGTTAATCGTCTTATGACATTTGATTTAATTTTTTTTATATAAATCCTATAAGTATGCTTATTATGTTGTAAATCTAAGTACCAGCATAGTCTAGTATTAACGAGAATAATACTACTAAACAAATTATACATACAAATAGTACCTACGCGTAATTTATTTAATTATATCGCTTGTTTATGGATCATACATTTTTCAAACAAATTTACTACCAGTCAAACCTTTGGGTGATAAAGTCATAAAAAGTTGCTAAACTTAATTGAAGGTCGGACACCGAGCACCACAGCCCAACAGGCGGCTACTGGGCCAAACACAAACACGATAATAATACATTTTATTATAAATAACAGTAGAGCCATTAATTCCAAAGGATCTCAATTCTTGGACGCGAAAGAAAAATTTTACGACAAAAGGAAGTCCTTTTTAAATCATTGGTCTATTTTTTCTGTTACTACAGGGGCGCTTAGCATACCTCGGAGAAGGAATTTCATTCATTCCTGAACGTTTTGTTCGTAGGGCTGTCAAAAAAATGAGTTCATAATAGGCGTTAAGACGACCCTTAGCGACATGCCGTCTACAACGCTCACGCTTATACAGCGGGTTTATTTTAATTGGATATAAAATTGCAGCTAATCTTTTTAATCTGGTAAAATATTTTTTATTTTATTATGCTTTTGTTTTTTTATTATATGTTATTCTGTCTTGCAGTCGAGATACCTACGTCATTGTAATTTTTACAAGTGTAGTTAAGTGTGTAAAAATAAATTAATGTAAGTTATAATTCACAATATGAATACCTATGACATGTTGTAAATATTTTTATTATTCATCAATGCGTAGTTTTACGACGGATGATTACTGGCTGTTATGCAGATGAACACTATTATAATAAATAACTATAGTAATAAATAATGTCTACACTATTATTGACAAATGATAAACACAATTACGATTCGCAACTGATTGAGTATTCATAACAATTATTTGTCTAGCCATAAACTTGTATAGTGGGACGCGAAACAAATGTGTTACTTCCATCGAAACATCGATTAACGAATCGTGAACGCTATATTAAGAATCGATAAATAGAACACGGTAAAATCCTCTTAAGTGTTTTTAATACAATAAATCGATTGGTTGGTAAACATTTTAGTATCGATTATAGAACAGCCTGTATATATCGGGTCCTGTGATCTATGAACGCACCTTAAAGGTGTTTGTGTGACCGATTTCTAAGAAGAATCTCTGGAATTATAAGCTTTTAGTGTTCCAAATGATGTCATTGATCAATATTGTTCAATCGTAATAATTTATACGTCCCGGATGTTATTGTAAGGTAAATTGTATTACTTAATTATTTTATTAATAACTATGATTCTATATAATAGGTACCTATGGGTAGGTCATATTTTCATAATTGTTTATCGGACACACAGCTTGTTAGCGTATAATTCCCGTTTTGTAAAGTTTTACAATGCTATACGTCCAGCTTTACGCATTGCACCAAACGTTTATTATTTTATGGCACCTAATAAAACCCACAAAACATCAACCTATACATAATAACAAAAAATTCGGCACTCTTTGTCACAGACAATATACAAGTTAAATTGAAGTGTAATTGTCTGAAGTTGTTAACTGCACTCATTAATTAATTTCATTCAGACATCGGTTACATCATCTCCTGTAGTTTAGCCTAACATTTCGGCAAAAAACATGAACTTCCCGTCGCACACAAATAATACCATCATTGTTGCATTTGGTTGGATGCACAACAAGAATGCATTACAAGAAAACCAATTTAATCAACGTAGGAGCATTATTCGTCATTTGAAATGTGTACCGCGACTGGGAGGCGCCGCTGTGTATTGTTGACCATCTATATATCAACTAAGTTTAATCGTCTCCAATCGCTTTGATCAGCGCTTGTATCGCGGCGCCGGCGCACCGCCCGCATTATGCCGCGCTCACACAAAAAATGGGAACAGAAAAAGGTAAAGTTCCTCAAACGCCAGGTACAGGCGTTTAATGCGAGCAGACATATAAATCAAACCGAGGGCTCTAACAACTTATGACATAAAATCCTTTATTATTCACACGGATTCGAATAAAAAAGCATCGACGGTGAATAGCCGACCGCGGGCGCAGCGCCGGCCGACGCGCCACGCATCGAATAACATTATAGGATTAAGAACACTTTTAGTTTCTTTTTTGAATGGAACAATTAGAGACGGACGTGATAGGTGTGACAAAAAATGTCTTAAACTTTTTGCTCCCCAAGGGATCAGCTTTATATGCCTGCCGTGGATGTCTAAAATATGATTCTGGGAAATTGGATTAGGTGATGCGCGAAAACCTTCTGTATCGTCGTTTTGTACAGATTAGGAAGAATCGATTTCATTATTATAATTAATTGAAAGTTATGTTACCTGACTATGTGTACATACCTATAATAAATAAATATTATTAATCCTCACCGAACGACTTCAATACCAAACATTCGATCTAAATCCCACGATCGAGTAAGTAGGGCAAAGATGAACGTCACATTTTACACATTTTATTTAAAAGATTTTTGTTCTATCAAGAATCAGTTATCTATGTCTAGATACAAATTATCAATGCCAAGTAACGCTGTATTAAAGAATCTATAAAGGCGATTATTCACACGTATGTTTCCTGGGAAATTTGATACGGTTCCACGCAGTCGAGAGTCTAGACTGGTCGTCATCTAGACAATAAAAACGATATGTACTGGTATATTATGTATAACATAAGCATCGTTTATTTTTAGGTACATGTGAACGTAGCAATTAGTACTAAACCTAACCTTAAAATAGATACATATTTTTAGGTTAGGTTTACTAAGTAACTATAGAATATTGAAATGTAGGACTATTCCTACATTTATTTATTTATATAGTCCTTTTCCATAGGGAAAAGGCTCTGTTTCACATCAAAATGTATGTACTTACATTCGTATACAACTGGGTACTCTTGCAAACTAAAAGGTCTGATTTGAATGAAAAACGTACACTCAAATGTCACTTCTAAGTTATAAAGCGGAGAGATTTAAATTGTATGACTAACTAGATTAAGCGTATGTACCTACAGCCTAAACCAACTGTATTCGATTTTATTTGATCCAGAGCTTGAAAACCGTAAAATGGAAGATTTAGAACATGTCTCCAAAGGTTTTTGCTTATTTTGAAGAGATAGAAAGTAACATTAGACTATTGAACGGCTTCACATCCCGCGCAAGTTGGAAGGTACTTGAGGAAACAGGTTCTTGTAGAGCTTCCACTTTAATAATAGTATCACAGCACTTAGTATTACGACCTTTGAATTACTTTATAGCCACAGCTTCCTTCTTGTAAACCCCATTCCAAAGAGGAAAAATAAAATCATTATCGGTTGTAACCAACCTTTTATTATCATTTCGTGCAATGTAAAAATAAAGCCTTGTTAATCATATTATTAATTAACTATTTTATCACCAATTTTCTCACCAATTTGTAGGGAGGGATATTAATAATAATAGAAAATACATAAAGTAATAGACCATTAAGACTCAGCCCTATCCATTGAACTGACCATATTTACGTACATAACATAAGAAAGAAGAAAGAAAAAAAAACATTTATGCGACAGAAGGCACGCACACAGATAAAAAAAAACAAAATTAAAAAAGAAAAGAACAAATAAATACGCATATTTATATAGATATAGAAAACACAAAGAAACGACAGAGTATAACAACACAGTGACAATAGAATAAAACACATAAAACACAGTAATTAAAAATTAATAAAAACAAGATATAAATAAATAAATAACATAACATCACGTCTTTTATCCCCGAAGAGGCAGGTAGAGGTTCACATTACGGTACTTTATGCCACTGAACAATGTAACACCCACTTTTCACTATTTATGTTATGAGTCCCATGTAATAGGCGGTGAGTATTAAAATTTAGGTACACATACCCCAATTTTAATTTTGGTAAAACACCTATTAAAAGATCTAAGAATATGATGCAAATTGATCCAAGACAAAATTCTTGTAAAGACCTTCAATAGAAAATAAAAGAATGCGAAGAGGAAGAAGATAAAATGAAGATAGAGATAAAATGGGCTAAATCTATAGGTATTGCTATGATGTACAAAATTAAACTGCATACTACATAACAACGGTGATCAAGAAATTCCATAATTGAAAATCCCAATGATTACTCCATTACGGACATTACGCTTACAAAATATTATCCCGTAAATATGACGGCATATTTCTGTCACATGTTGTAAATAAGTCAATATGATAAGAATTACACAATAACATACTTCGGGATGACACAGGAAAGAAAATTTTTCCGATTACAGTTATATTATATTTTCCTGTTTGTTGTAGTATTTATAATGTTACGGTTTAAGACATTTATTTCTCAAAAACAATCTACAGAATATACATAAGTTAATATTCATAAATTAAATTTTGTATATTGTCTAAAATAAATAGTTGATTTTATACACACATGGGTATAATCACCGGTACATGATTACTTTGACCGTACAAAGTTAAATGTACTAATGAATTAAATAAAATCGGGTACACTGTATCCATTTTTTATTTATAATACATAGTAAGTATAGCATAGTAAGTGTTAGTTCGTTGATGCTGTAATTGCATTACCCAGCGTGCAGCGTAATGATGTTTTTATACTTTTATAGTAATTTATGTGACTGCCTCGTTGGCCGAGTGGTCGCAAGTGCGACTGCCGGGCAAGGGGTCTCGGGTTCGATTCCCGGGTCGGGCAAAGTATTACTGGGGTTTTAAAAAAAATCTCAGTAGTAGCACGGAGTCTGGAATTGTGCCCGGTATATGGCAATAGGCTCTCCCTCTATTACATGGGACTCATAACATAATTGTGAAAAGTAGGTCATTGTACAGTGGCATAATGTGCACCTCTGCCTACCCCTTCGGGGATAAAAAGGCGTGATGTTATGATGATGATAGTAATTTATATTCAATAAAAATGTCAATGTAAACGCAACAAACGTACTGATTTTAATATAAACAATGATATTTTACTACTTGATAAATCCCTCGATATGTTACTAAAAATCAATCAATCCAAATTGCTTTTAATGAGTATTTATCAATATTTTTCCTCCTGAAAAAACCCCAACAACATCTTCCTGTTTGATAGTGGTGTGACGACAATGGTAGACCACCAGGTCTATCGATTAGGATTGACGCAATACCTTAAGTCAGTAATACCGAACATAGGCCTAGCACGTCATCCGTTATTGATTATTGTTATATGTCATTCCCCAGCAATTAACTCATTGATGTATTCGATATGTTTAAGGAAAAATTACAATTTAATTGATTAGGCATGATTTAAAATAGATGTGATGTGTTTTTTACTAATTGATTTCATTTCATTTATTCATTAACAATTATTACATTGTGATAGAATTTGTACAATTC